CCACCTTAGGTGTATGTGGCTGGCGCCTTAGCCGCTTGAGCCACAGGCACCGAGCCAAGAGAGATCAAACTTCTGAGGCTAATTCACAACCCAGCTCCCTTCCTCACTCTTCCAAACTTCCCACCTGAGTGAGCCACTCGTTGCAGGCGGGGATCGAAGCCAACTCTTTGGAGTCGCTCTGTGTGGGCCAGGAAGAAGTTGACAACGCCACTAGTCAGCACACAGCTGGGGAAGCCTTCCAGGGGCTGGAAAGATCCTTTCCTCTTGTGAAGGCAGTCTCCATTCTCACTCTGTTCCAGGAGCAGCTTAAACTGGAACACATTGCCCAGAACACTGCCTCCTACCTAGTCAGTGGGCAGAGAAACCCGTATTAGAGAGCATATACTCAACATTCGTCCTGCCACTTCCAGGAAGCCTTGTTGGATTGGACCTCAGTTATAACAAGAATTGCACCCTTGCTGTGTCTATCCTTCAGATTATCCCTCGGTTCTTCTCTTTTTGCTATTGTGGCCAACTTTTACCATACTCCTGTTGGGTCCTTTGGAAATTTGAATTCTTCCCTACCCCAGAAAATCTAGCTGGTATGAACAGCACTTACTCCAAGTCTGAACAGCAGACAACTAGTACCTGCACTCTGCTCACATGACAGCAAACTCACTCTTTCCAGAAGAGGGTTACTCACTCCCCTCCATTATGAGAGCAATGTTTGATCAAGCATGTGCCGGGCAGCCTATGTGCAGTGGTCTATCCGCAAGGCCCCCACTTATTAGTTTTCTTGCAGAGAGCAGCTTGTCCCAAGCTAGCTTTCTCCCATTCTCCCAGCTCTTACCTCTCTGAGCTGCCTCTCCATGCTCTCATGGGACATACCCTGTATTTGCATTTGAGCCTGAGCAAAACAGGATGATCAAGGACATCTATTCCTTCCTGAAACAACTTTAATCCTCTTAGGATGACATGGTAAAGTCTGCTCATTGTCCCCCACACCATTTTTCTCTTTCTCCCTTTTAGTAAATGAGTTCTCTGAGTTTTAAGTGGACTAAATTAAGATAGTCAATGAATCAACCAAAGAGTGCGTTTGCCCACCTACCTGGAAGCAAAGTTGGACCATGTGATTACGTTCTGGCTAACAAGATATGATTTAGAACTCGTGCGTGCCACTCCTACATCCCATCCTTCAAAGAAACCACTTGCCCTCCACTGCCTCTGTCCCGCTTCTGGATGTGGTGCTGGGGCCATGAGGATGATGGAGCCACAACAGAAGCAAGTTGGTCCAGGAAAACTGACTCGAGTTCCTTTGAAGGCACCTTACACAAGCAGGAACAGCACCTTGTCTCTTGCTTCAGCTATTAAGGGTCTCTATGAGTCACCAAGGGATGTCTTAGTTGAGCCAGATGCTTTGGGGATTGTCTGCTTGCAGGAAGAGTTAGGTATGGCCACGATGCCACTTACTTTCTAATCCATTTTTTCTTTTTTCTTCTCTTTTCTATACTGAATTGACTTTTAATATTTTTATTTATTTATTTATTTTGGGACAGAGTCTCACTATATTGCCCTGGGTAGAGCGCCATGGTGTCACAGCTCACAGCAACCTCAAACTCTTGCACTTAAGCCATTCTCTTGCCTCAGCTTCCCAAGTAGGTGGGACTACAGGCACCCACCACAACTCCTGGCTATTTTTTCTTGCCGTTGTCATTGTTGTTTAGCTGACCTGGGCTGGGTTCAAACCTGCCACCCTCGGTGTACATGGCTGGTGCCGTAACCACTATACTACAGGCACCAAGCCTATTTTTATTATTATTTGCCTCCCCCCCCCCTTTTTTTTTTGACAGAGCCTCAAGCTGTCCCCCTGGGGAGAGTGCTATGGCATCACAGCTCACAGCAACCTCCAGCTCCTAGGCTCAAGTGAGTCTCCTGCCTCAGCCTCCCAAGTAGCTGGGACCACAGGCGCCCACCACAATGCCCGACTATTTTTTGGTTACAGCTGTCATTGTTGTTTGGCAGGCCCAGGTTGGATTTGAACCCACCACCTTAGGTGTATATGGCTGGCACCTTAGCCACTTGAGCCACAGGTGCCGAGCCTGCCTGCCTTTTTTGAAACAGTCTCATGCTGTCATCTTGGGTAGAGTGCCATGGCATCATCATAGCTCACAGCAACCTCCAACTCTTGGGCTCAAGCAATCCTTCTGCCTCAGCCTCCCCAGTAGATGGGACTACAAGCACCTACCACAATGCCCAGCTAGGTTTTTGTCTACTTTTAGTAGAGATGAGGTCTTGCTCTTACTCAGGCTGGTCTCAAACTCCTGAACTTGGATGATCCACCTGCCTTGGGCTCCCTGAGTGCTAGTATTATAGGCATGAGCCACCACACGCACAGCCTTCCTCTTTTTTAATGTCCTTAGGGCCATGTGTACTTCTAAAGCTTTGTGCCATTTACATTTTTTCAAGTGTTGTGTGATAGAAGGAGAACGCTGCTCTCTTTCATTGCTCATCAGTCCTGGAGGAAGTTGGAAGTGATACATACACACACCATTTTAAAAGCAGAACAATTGTGAATTGGTGGAGGCGTAATTTGCTCGATGAAAAGTAAGCGTGGAGGCAGCAGCAGAACTCTGCCTCTGCTGATTCCTGCTGCCATGCCCTCACCCTCCACCCCAGAGTTGTGCTGGCTTAGTCATCTCCTCCATCAGCCCCTCTCCCTCCCCTCTTCCCTCATCTGCTTTCCTCTCTCTGCTCTCCCTCCTCATCCTTGTCTCTATAGATCACAGCGGGATGAAGCTGGCAACTGTCCCTTACCACATCCAGTTCAGTTTTCTCCAGGACATCTACCAGCACCTCGATCTTGGTCTTGTTGTTAAAGAGAAAATCATCATCTACCCAGAGAACATATTTGGTGGTGACCTGAGATATGGCCAGGTTCCTACCGGCAAACCAACCCTGTAGGTGGAAGAAGTTAGATCAGTGGGTGCCTGTCCTGGCTATATATTAGAGGCACATGGGGAGCTTTCTAAATGCCCAGTGGCCAGGCTGCCTGCAAATAAACAAATTCGGTCAGAATCTGTGGGGGTAAATCCAAGCTATGGCCAAGGTTGAAAAATCAACTGGGACCAGGGAGTCCATGTCTCAGAGAAACACTGGAAGGGACAGCGACTACTTAGATCAGAGATCGAGACAAAGAAAGACTAGAAAGTTCCTTCCTTGGCCCTGTGGACTTTACGAATTGACTGAAGTCCTTTTTTACCTGACAGTTTCCCTTATCTCCTGGAAGATGTTGAGTTTGGGGGCCTCTGGTATATATAAGATCCATTTCCTTCTTTGCCCCTATAGGAAAAGGAGGAAGAGAAGAAAAAGAGGGAGAGGGAAAAGGAATGAAGAGAAAAAGGAGGAAGAGGGAAAGGGATGGAGGGAGAGAGAAACTGAGGCAGGGGGAAGGAGACAGAGAGAGATAAGCCCTAGCTTGGGTGGAATTATGGGGATAAGAGATTGTTTTGCTGTTGGATCTATGTGTCAAGAAGCCTTGGGATGTAAAATACCTCAAGTCACTTATAAAGACACTAATTAATCTCCATACCAAAAATGACAAGTGCAGAAAAGCATGGGTGAGCCCATTTTTCTCTGAATTAGGAATCAGCCAGGGGACCCAGAGGACAGTCCTCACCCTCTCCCACTCCAGGACTCTGTATCCTTGGGAAGATGACTGAAGTGGCCCCTTCCAGGGCAGAACCTGACTCTGGGGCTTTCTTATCCTGGACACAGGTTCCCCCCCGCCCCAATCTAGCAAGACATACCTTCCCAAAGGGCATGGTGTAATACTCCACGTGGCTGTCTTCAATGTTCAAGGGCTTCTTGCTATCGTCAGCCACTATCACAGTCAAGTCTGGGTAATACTCTCGAATACTCCGGAGCATGGTCATGAACTTGTGGGGGCGAAGGAAAGTCTTGGTGGCAATGGTCACCAGGTTTCTGAGCTTCCTCTCTGGACAGAAAAGGGTGGCTGTCAGAGCTCTATCCTGCAGGAAATCTCATGGTCTGGCTTGTTTTGTTCTCAAGGCCTCTTTAAGCCACAACCTGTCAGTGTTTGTGGCCTTCATGCCTCTTGTGGAAGGGAGGTGCTTGATAGGAGTTTGTTAGTGGGACTGGAAAATAAAGACATTCGCAACATATCCCATTTTGTTGAATTT